CTATTAGGTTACTCTCCTCTGCCTCTGAACACACTTGAACCACCTAATCCTAAAAATTCTTCCCTCAGTCCTACCTCCCAGTCAAGTAACCACTTTCTCATTTACTAACAAACTTCTGGAAGTATAGTCTACACTATTTTCTCATCCAAACCCCCCATTCATTACTTTAATACTATTTTAAACTCCCGCCACGAAAATCAACAGTATCTTTTTATTGCCAAATCCAACAGTTTCTTTTCAATTCTCACATCACTTACCTACAAAATAATTGTGTTCTTGCTTGGTTTGTATTGCATGACTTTCCTGATTTTCCTACTACCTTTCTAAGGATTCTCTCTCATTGTCTTCTTTTGGATCCTCTTTTGCTGTCACCTACTCTAGATTCTCAAAGATCTCTCCTGGCAATATTACTCAGTTTGGTAATTCAATTATGCTTATATTTAATGACTCTCTCAAATCACTATCTCCAGGCCCCATTCTCCCTCCTAAGCTCCACGTCTACTGTTTTGTTCCCACAGACAACAAACACTGGATGCCACAAAGACACTAAAATTAGACATCAAAAAAAACAAAACGAGAAAAGAAAATCACAAACTTCTCTTTAATCAACTGCATACATCGCATCCAGAGCTTGGCACATGATTAACCACCGTTACTAGCTGGCTTCCAGCAGAAATGAAATAAAGGCAGCACATAAACCCTCACCAAGCCTTTGTATTTCATATTTTTTTAAGCTCCTCTATTAACCAATCACTACTTCTTTAGGTACAAAAGTAAGCCATATCTTTCCATAAAAACCTGTTCCTCTTCCTTTTTACTCCTACGAAACCTTTATTCCTATGAAACACTAAAACCTCAGAATCACCTTCTGTTTCTCCTGCAAATCTCACTTCCAATTGATATACACCTTGAAAAATGTCTTTCAAACCTATGTTTTGAAATGCATCCAAAAAATAAGATAGATGTGATAAAGCAAAAATAATAAATGCTATTTACAGAATCTAGGTGGTGGATATATGGGCATTCACTGTATAATTCTTTCAACTGTTCTGTATATTTTTAAGAGTTTACAATAAAATTTTGAAAAACAACCTGATCAATTCAGACGCTGTTTAAGCACATGCCCTGTTCTCTCTGCTGAACTGCCCTGGGAGCCTAACTGAGCCATGTCCCCACTCCTTGCCACTTCAATCCTCCTCCCAGGTGGCTCCCCAGGGGTCCCTGCCTCCTGGTATTCACATCCTCGTGGACCTGCCTCCCACACTGTACCAGGAGTGGTCTCTATGACCAATACAACTGTGTATCACTTCAGAGATTAGGTTACAATCTCATCTGCACTTTCCAGATTCCATTTCGGCACATGCTCTCTCCGTGACTTGTTCTGGGAGAACATATAAACCATCTAGGGATCTTGGTAAAATGCACATTCTGACTCAGTGGGTCTGGAGCAGGGCCTGGGATACAGCATTTCCAACAAGCTCCTAGGTGATACAGATACTGCTAGTTCAGAGAGCAAACAGTGCTGTGAATATAGCTAACAAACTAAGAAAAAAGAGAAATCAGGGAGAGGTAGATTTCTATTTTTTTCCTGCCATATTTAAATATGTAAAGATAGGGTCAGGTCTTTGTAGTAGTTCAATGCAACATTATCTCACTATATTCAGTTCTACAGAGCAGTGCTTCTCAAACATGAATGTGCAGATGAATCACTTGGGTATCTTATTAAACTGCAGCACTAAGCCTAGAGCAGGAGATTCTGCATTTCCAAAAACCTCCAAGCAACACTGAAGCCTCTGGTCCAAGGACCACACTTTTTGAGTAGTAAGGTTTTAAAAGGCCCCTATACCTTTTTGTTTGTTTAATGTATTTGATTACAGATAAATGTGAAACTTCTATGTCAAAACCACAATAAAGTTAAAAGATGAATAAGTAATTTGGAAAGAAACATTTGCAACATTCATGGCAACATGTATATCTTTTGTATTAATTTTCTATTGTTGCAGAAATTACAGCAATACTTTTCAAGTTTCAGAAACATCAATCAGAAAGATAAACTTGAAACGGTTTACAAATGCCCATTTCTCATTCCAGCTTTACCTCCAACTACCCCAGCACCTTTGCCCACCCTATGCACAAGCCTATGCTCCAACCATACCTTACAACTGCCTACACAGTACTAAAATCTTAACTTTTCTAACCTTACTCTGAAAACATACTTTTGTTTTTGTTTTTTGTTTAAATTTTTTTAATTGACAAATACTTATTGAGCATCTAACATACTTATGTTTTGATAATACAGCAAGTCCAAGTAGAAGTCATCAGTTTAACGGTCCTCTCCTCTTTCCCTTCAATTGATCTTCCATCTAATTTGCCTATTTATAGGCCAAGCATTTCATCACTCTACCATGGGATTCAAGTCCCACAGGCTACTTATTCCAGATTAAAATAGAGAAAATATAGACGCTTCTTCACAATTAACCTCTCACTACATGTTTTTTCTCACACAATTTTAAAAAGATATAACTAGCCCGGCCAGGCATGGCTCAGCGGTTGAGCATCCACCTAGGATCCAGGAGATCGAGGTTGGATTCCGGGTCAGGGCACATGCCCGGGTTTTGGGCTGGATCCCCAGCAGGGGGCGTGCAGGAGGCAGCGGATCAATGACTCTCTCATCACTGATGTTTCTCTCTTTCCCAATCCCTTCCCCTCTCTGAAATCAATAAAGATTTTTTGAAAAAGATACATTAAAAAAAAGATATAACTAACATACCATAAAAGCCACCCTTTTAAAGTGTATAATTTAATGGTTTTTAGTGTAGTCAAAGTTGCGCAATCATCATCACTATCTAGTTCCAGAATATTTTCACCACTCCCCCGCCCAAAAAAACCCATACCCTTTATCACCCCCAATATCCCCAGTTCCCCAGCCCCTGGCAACCACTAATCCTTCTATCTTTATAGATTTGCCTATTCTAGACATTTCACATAAGTGAAATATGTGGTCTTTCTGACTAGCATAATGTTTTCCAGGTTCACCCATGTTGCAGAATGTATGCATCAGTACTTCCTTCCTTTCTATCGCTAAATAATTCCACTGTATGAATATACCATGTTTCATGTATTCATCAGTTGATGGACATTTGGATTACTTCCACTTTTTTGGCTGTTACGAAGAATGCTGCTACGAGTATGCGTGTGGAAGTTTTCAGTTCTCTTGGGTATATACACCTAAGAGCAGACTTGCTGAGTAATGTGCTAACTCTACGCTTAACAACTGAGCAACTGCCGGACTATTTTCCAAAGCCCTGAACCATTTTACATCCCCACCAGCAATGCATGGGAATTTAACTATTACACTGTCAAACAATGAGGCTGCCACAATTCCTGAAGGAAAGGAGGGATGTGCCCCCCGCCGCCTCCGGGGCGTCCTCTAGGAAGAGCACTGCATCAACAAAGAGGAGTGCTGCAGATTTCTGGCAGGCATGCAAGAAATCAGATGTTATTGGGCCGAGTATACTGAGCAAGGGAGCTGACCGCTCAGATCCAACGGTCCTTTACTCGTAAAACAGAGACGCCGTGTGTAGTAACATTGATGCTGCAGTCGCCGTGAAGATGAAATAAAACCACCCACACAAAAGTGCTTTCCAACACTGATTACTCGTGATTCAACCCTGGGCAGAGCGTTAGGGGCAAAGGGCTAAATGCCCAGGTCCCTCCCCGCGCCCTTCCTCCGCGTTCCTGCCCGCGCGGGAGGGGCCCCCGGGC